GCGTCGCCGCAGGGGACGGCTTCGTAGACGGTGATGGTGGAGGCGGAGGCGGCGGCGGTGGTGGAGGAGGAGGAGGAGGAGGCGGCGGCGGCGGCGGCGGCGGCGGTGGAGGAGGAGGAGGCGCCGGCGGCGGCGGCGGCGGAGGAGGCAGAGGCGCCGGCGGAGGAGGAGGTGGCGGAGGAGGAGGAAGAGGCGGCAGCGGCGGCGCCGACAGCGGCGGCGGCAGTGGAGGAGCAGGAGGCGGCGGTGGCGGAGGAAGAGGAGGAGGGGGGGGGGGCTGGGGAGGCGGCGGCGGAGCCCGCAGCAGCGACGGGGAAGGAGGAGAGCGAGGTGGAGGCGGCGGAGCGCAGGCGCGAGCTCGAGCGAAAGAAGCGCAAGATGGAGAAGGAACAGGCTAGGCTCGAGCAGCTGCACGCTTTACTCGTGGGCGGTGTGGCGGACGCGGCGGCACGGCGGGCGGCCGACGACCCGACTCAGGCGGTGGGCCGCGCGACCAGCGGCCTGCTGATGCTGGGTCACTCGCCGAAGCTGAGCTACGACGGCGCGACGCACCTCCAGGTCGTCGGGTGCGACACGCTGGTGACCGTACCGGGGGAGAGTGACCTCGCGACCCGCTCGACGCTCGCGCAGCGTGCGCGCAAGGTTTGCCAGGGCCTCAAACGGCCCGAGCTACTCCGCTTTGACGACGAGGTGGCGTGCGTCAACCACCACATGGACCCGCCGGTGGACAAGGAGAGGGGTGACGCACCGCACCAGTACGGCTTCACGCGGCAGGCGACGGCCATTTTCGAGCACGCCGACAAGCTAATCCGCGAGAGGCGCCCGCACGGCATCGTCGCGGCCTTCGGCACGTTTGCTGGTGGCGTGCTGCACGCGGCGCGCGCGCACACGTCCGCCGATGGACCGGCCGAATTTGCTGAGCGCGCGTACCGCGCGTGCGCTCGGAAAATCTGCCGGCTGCCGTCCGACTTGTGCGTCCTCACGCCATTGGACGTGCGGTTCGGCGAAGGGCGCGGCGTGCGCTTGCTCGTCGTCACTCAGGCCGGTCACCTCTCGCAGGGTGGCGCGTGCGCCGGGATCATCAAATGCCTCCGCGCCGGCGCGGACGAGCTCCTCAACGGTCCCGGTTCCGCCGCGGAGGTGCCGCCCTTGGTGGCGTTTGCCTTTGGCGGGCGTGTGCGGCAGCACAACGAGCAGGTGGTGCAGGCGCTCCGCTGGGAGGAGGACAACGAGAAGGACGATGAGGACGATGAGGGCGAGTGAATTCGATGATGGTCGCAAGTAAAAGACGATGGATGGCAAGGTGCGCCGAGCAGGCTGGAGCTTGGGGAGCTCGAGGCGCTCGCAAGGGTCGGACCACACATCGCGGCATTTGAACCGAACTGCTGATGTATGTTAAACACCCTAGTGATGTTGATGGAGAGTACATGGACATTGATTCGGGTCCGCCAGATTATTTTATGTCGTCGCTTGTCCCAGTGAGCGAGTGTGTCGACACGCTGTCGTCGTTGCAGCGCGCCATTGGATTGCGCATTCCGGGTATTCTTCTTTTCAGATTTCACGTCGCAGAGGGGTGAAACGTTTCACGCAGGAGCGAGGAGGCCGCCGCGCACAGAGACTGCCGGGGCGACCTTTGGGCGCCGCGAAACCCGCTGCTCGAGCCGTGGCGTGCGGCTGCGCGCGCACCTTGCGCGGGTCGGGTCTGTCACGCAGCAGGTCGGGTCTGTCACGCGCCACAAGCGGCGCGCAGTAGCTGGCGACGGCGGCGCCGCCGCCGGCGCTTCTGCCACCGGCGGCGGCGCCTCTGCCGCCACCGGCACCGGCGTCGCCTCTGCCGCCAGCGCGCGCTGCCGGCTCAGCAGCTGGCTGAGGCGGAGCAGGGCTTCCCTCCCGGCCAGGGGGCCCTCCCGTGCCGACGGCTGTACCGCGCAGAGGCGGCAGAGGCTCGGACCGGCGCTGGAGGAGGGCTTGGGGGAGTCTCCGGCTGCGGCGGCAGCAGCGGCGACACGGTGCCCATCCTCCTTGGGAGGGCGCTGCTCCCCGCGAGGCGGGAAAGACTGCACCAGCACCAGTGCTCAACGTTGCGGAGTAGTAACACTGTTCCGTTACCGTGAGCGGCCGGCGGCCGGCGGCGGCCGGTGCGGCACGCGGAGCACTCCGTGAGCAGTGACGGGTGCGGACGAGCGAATGAGAGGTCCCTTTCGGTGAGAGATAGACAGCCCTAGTCTCTAATAACACATCTCCCACAGATAGCGACCTCTCATTCGCTCATCCGCGCCCGTCACTGCTAGTCGGGGCACTCCCGGCGTGCGGCCCGGTCCCGGTCGTCACTCCGGTTGCTCGTGTTCACAGCGTCAGAACTCAGCTCCGCTAGGATTCAGTGTCTGAGACTTGGGCATCTTACACAACCTTTGTAGTAGAGCACAATGGCACCCTTGGATCAAGTGGATCACTTCATTACTACACCGTACTACCGACCCCCGTTTTCGGCCGCCGCGGCCGGAGAGCACCCCCGTCGCCCCGCCCGGGGGCCCGTCGACCCCCCAGGTGTCGAGGTTCGCCGAGCGCGGCGCAGGTTGAGGGAAGCCGCCACCGACGAGCGCGTTGGACTTTTCACTCCGGACAAAGACGGGCACACAGCGGACGGTGCGGGGCGTGTGCCCGTCATGTAGCGCGGCGAGGCGCGGGACCGTCTGTGGCGAAGTGGGTCGCGTCCCTCGATTTCGTTCAACCTCCAGCACCCACACCCTTTACAGCCGACGAGCGACGAACGACGTGGCACGTGCGGGAGACAAGAGACTAGAGCACACGGCACCTTCACCATGTGTGGCTCACTGCACCGCCGAGACAGAGCGGGGGCGGCACAACCACAAGTCGTACACGCGCACAGCCGTGGTGTTTACACTGTGTCGCACAGAGTCACGCGCTAACCTCCGCAGGGCCGCGCCGCCCTCGCTCGGCGGCCAGCGCATCTGCGAGCCGCCGAAGCAGCCGCGCCTCGGACTCGAGCTTGGCGAGCGGCTTGACCTGCGCAGGCGAGGGGGGGGAGGGGGAGGGGGGGAGGGGTTGCCTCCTCCCGAGGAGGGAGCCTCTCCCCTCTGCGTCTACTCCCCCGCGCAGTCTCCTCAGACCTCGATGCGGGACCCGCCCGTAATCTCGGGTAATCTCGGGTAATCTCGGGAAATCTCAGGCCTCGATGCGGGACCCGTCCGTGCCTCTTCGAAAGACCGCCTCCATCTCGGACCGGACCACACGCACGCGCGGGACGGGCTCCTGCTCGGCGAGATGACCCGAGATTACCCGAGATTACCTGAGATGACCCGAGATGACCCGAGAGGAGTCGCGGCTGACCGCACGCGCGGGACGGGCCCCTGCGCGACGATCAGGTGGGAAAATCCCGGATTATCTCGCAAAATCTCGGGGAATCTCGGGGAATCTCGGGCTCCTGCTCGACGATCAGGTCGGAAAATCTCGGGGAATCTCGGGGAACTCTCGGGGAATCTCGGGCTCCTGCTCGACGATCAGGTCGAGCGCGCCGTCGAAATCACCCTGCAGCCGCTCCTCCTCCCCCTCTCCCACGTACTCGGCGCCGGTGGCGAGGAAGCGGAGGCGGGCGCCCCGTGCTAGCTTCTCGGCGGAGCCCAGCGTGCGCGCCTAGAAAAGAAGAGTGTCGCCCGATCCGCCGTAAAAAGAGAAGCGCGCACGCGGCTGTTCTGCGTGGGAGGCGGGGCAGCGCTGGCCTCCGCGCGAGCTGCGGGGGTGGGGAGCGGGACGACGCGAAAGGAGGACAGGAGGCCCGAGGGCGCCCCTCCCGGCCCGCTCTCGCCCCTCAGCTGCTCTGCAAGCTCGAGAAGCCACTCCACCTGTACCACCCCTCCGGGACGAGTAGTCAGCAACCCGCCACCTTGCCGTGAGGTGCGGACTAGAAAGCAGCAATCTCCACCGTCACAGCTGCGTCGCCCGTCTCGAGCCTCCCCACCTCTGGCCCGACCAGCTTCAAGAACTCGTCGCTCCACCTGTAGGAGAAGGTTCCTAGAAGGTTCCCAGGAGGCTCCTCGAAGGAGCCATAGGAACTCGTCGCTCCACCGCTCCGCACGCGCCGCCGGGCCGAGCCCGCAAACCCGCCCCCCCTCATTGCCGATTGAGAAGCGGGCGCCGCAGCTCTCCTCCCGCCGCAGCGCCTGCCAGGGCGACGGCAAGACATGTCGGGGACATGTCCCGGACACGCCCCACTCCTCTCCTCCCGCCGCAGCGCCTCTCTGGCGCACACGGCAGCCAGCCTCGCCCCCACCGGCCCAACGAAGGCGTCGCCCGCAGCAAGCGTCACGCCCTGCTCCTCCCACCCTCCCCCCCCTCCTCCTCCGCCGCCCCCCCTTCCTCCGCCGCCGCTGCCGCCGCCGCTGCCGTCGCCTCCGCCGCTTCCGCCTCCCGCCGTCTCCACGTACATTACCGTCGTCTCAGCGCCAACCCTGCGCGCCGCCGCCGCGAGAGCGTCCGCCGCAGCGCGCTGCCGGTCGAGCTGGCCGAGCAGGTTTCGGAGCGCGAAGCTGAGCTGGAGCGTCCGTTCGACACCTGTCATTAAGAGTGGACCCATGGATGAGCCGTTGAGTGTTGAGTGGGGTCTGGGCTGGAGCGTCCGGTCGGCGCCGCGCGGCGAGAGGAGCAGCACGCGGCGCAGCGAGGAAGGGAGGACGCGTGCGGCGGCGGTGAGCAGCGTCGGGCTCACGCCTCCTACGATTAATTAGGTAATTGGTGTTTAATTAGTGTTTAATTAGTGAGCAGCGTCGGGCTCACGCCTCCTACGCCCGCCCATTCCTCCGCCAGTGAGTGGGCAGCTGCGCGCGCGTGTGTGTGTGTGTGTGTGTGTGTGTGTGTGTGTGTGTGTGTGTGTGTGTGTGTGTGTGTGTGTGTGTGTGTGTGTGTGTGTGTGTGTGTGTGTGCGTGCGTGCGTGCGTGTGCCGACGCCTCTTCCCCCGTCGACGCCGGCGCACACAAAGACGACCGCATCGGCGCCTTGGTACTCCTTCCGCAGCGTGTACGAGGGCGGCAGGTTCGGGTCCGCAAACGTGGCGGGGCACGAGGCTGTCCCTAAAGGAGGGCCCCGAGAAGGCTCCGAGAAGGCTCCGAGAAGGCTCCGAGAAGGCTCCCTCCCACCCCCTCCCACCCCCACCCACCCCCTCCCACCCCCTCCCACCCCCACCCTTGCCAAAGAGGGCTGCTCCGAGAAGAGCAGTGGGGCAAGTGATCCGAGAAGTGGCGGGGCGTGAGTGCCTCGGCGCAGGCGGCACCCCATTCCCGCGAGGGCCGCGGAGAGGGCTTCTCCGAGCTCCGACTCGGCTCCAGACACGACCACCGTGCCGCCGCGTCGGAGGCGGCTGTCCTTTGAAGTGGCCACCTGCGGGACCATTCCGAGAAGGTTCCGAGAAGGCTCCTAGAAGGCTCCCGAGGGAGGCGGAATGTGCTTCCAAGCGGCGACCAGCGCATTGCGGTTGCGAAACGATGCGGGAGCCGCCGCCTCGAGCTCGGAGAGGAGCGTCGCGGCGCGGTCGGCCATGGCGTTCCGTTTCTCGCGCCCGAACGCCGCCGACTGCTCCTCGATGTTGAGTGCGAGGAGCTGATAATCCCGCTCGATAGCCTCTCCAGCCTCTGCCACCTCGGCCTGCAGGTCCGATATGAAGCTGTCGATCGAGCGCTGGTCGCGGACCGCCTGCATGGCGGCGGCGGCGGCGTCTGAAGAGACCTTGTTGCGGAGGCTCTCGATGGCGTCGAGGAGCATCTCAAGCTCGAGGTTGTCTGCGTCATCCAGCGCCACGGCCGGTGGGCAGCGGCGAGGAGCGACGTGCGGCAGCCGCAGCGGCGGGAGAAGAAGCAGGCAGCCGAGAGCCGTCGATAGAGCCATTCGGCAGCGATCGCACCGCCACCGAATCCTCCAAGATTTGGCGGGCAGGAATCGGCCCAGCGCTGCCCCGCGACAAACGCGTGGGAGGCGGTGGTGCCGATGGCAGAGGCGCGGATATATCACGCCGTGGCGGTGCTCGATGGCAAGCTGTACGCGGTGGGCGGACAGGATGCCGGCCACAACTTACTCAGCTCGGTGGAGCGGTACGACCCGGCGCTGGATGCGTGGGAGGCGCTGGCGCCGATGGCGGCGGTGCGAACGAATGGGTGGCTTCGCTGCCTTGATGTAGATGTAGTCACGCCGTTGCAAGAGGAGGTGCGAGGGTGCTGGGTGGGCTTTGTGGTTGAGCTCAAGGAAATGTTTGCTTTTTTTCTAATATCTAAAGAAAGAAAGAAAGAAAACAAACGAGCACACGCACTCTTCTCTCTCTCACCGCCACACAGAATCAGCTCTCGCTCTCCTTACCCCTGACGCCCCCACCAAGCTCCCGCTCTCCCGCCACCAGCGACAACTCGACGAGCGGGTCCGCCTTGAGCGAGCCCGCGCCACCGCCCAGCAGCATGCTCGCGCAGCGGCTGCTGGCACGGCCGCGCTGCTGCGCGTACAGCTTCATCGCGGACAAGACCCACGGCGTCTCGACGCCAGCCTTGAAGGCGCAGTCGTGCCCTGCATCCGCAAACGGCCTGCGCGCGCCGTCCTCGGCGCAGGCCGCCGTTGAGAACTGTACAAAGAAGGCCGGGTGCTGCGAGCCTGTGGCGCCGCCGCCGAGCGCCCCCTTGAAGCAGCCGCGCTCGTGCTGTGCGGTCAGCGGCGCCGGCCAGAAGGCGCCGTCGTTGGTGGCGGTGGTCAGCAGCAGCGGGGAGCGCGAGGAGACGGTACGCAAGTCGTGCTCCTAGAAGCCGAAGCGCTGTGATCAGAGACAAGGCGGGTGACCGCTCGCCTCCTCCGCAATGGTGCTCCTCCCACGTGGACGGCCAGGGAGGAGGGCCGAGTGGGCCGCAGATGCCCGGGTGCTGCGTGACGACGAGCCGGACGCCGACCTCGTGCGCAGCAGGCACGCGGACACCCGCCATGACTGCGCAGGTGCCGCCCATGCTGTGGCCCGCGAGGACGACGCTGCCCATGTCGACCCGCCCGTGCAGTGGCGAGCTCGCGTTCGAGGCGGCCGCGGAGGCATAGTCGAGTGCCCGGAGAATGTACTCACCATTGGTGTTGAGCGTGAGAGGGCGAGTGTCGCCGGACGGGCTCTCAATGTACGGAAAGGCGACGACAAAGCCGTGCGATGAGTAGAGCTCGAGGACGGGCAAGTACATCTCGATCTTTGCCGTGGCGCCGTGCATGAACACGAGGAGAGGGAAGGCGCGATGCGCCGTGGGGTGCAGCACCACGATAGGGCGGTGCATCCAAGTCGCGTTGAGTCGGACGGGCGAGCCAAACGGGCCTGGGCGAGTGCTGTTGAACGGCGGATGCCCGTCCGCACGCGGGCTGCAGTCTGGCCACTCGGTGGCGGCGGCCGCTGCAGCGGCGAGGAGGGTGGCGAGGAGAGACGTGCGCGCGAGCATGAACCGAGTGAGCGGCCGAGAAGTCCGTTGGGAAAAAGAATTCTTGTCGGACAGGAAAAAGAAATCCCGCGGCACGCCCCCTTCTTCGACGGGTTCATCGGATTGCTGTGTGGCTGCCTGCACGACCCGACCAACACGCAGATCCTGTCGGCCTCGCTCCACCCGGCGCACCTGGTCCGCTTCCTGCAGGAGGAGACGGAGTCGGCGGGCGATTCGCCGAGCGGCGCGAAAACCGCCGCAGTCCTCCTCCCCGACCCGTCGGAGCTGCCAATCGTCAACATGGACTATGCGCTCTCGGCCCCGCTCCCGAGGGAGGAGTGGGCCGGCGCCATCGCATTCTTCTCTCGCGGCCAGCCCGCGTCGCCAAGCTCCACGGCGCGCTCGGTCGACGGAGATGGCGGCCATCTGCTGAAGGCTGGCGAGATGGCGCGGCTGGCGGCGCTGCAAGATCCGTTGCAGCCTACTGATGAGGAGCTGCTCGCGAAGCTAGCTGATGGCCACCTCCTCAAGGCTGGCGAGATCATGGCGCGGCTGAAAGCGCTCGAGGAGACAACCATCTGCCGAAGCGGAGCCGGAATTGCTCGCAAAGCTCGCTGACGGTCACCTGCTAAAGGCCAGTGAGATGGCGCGGCTGGAGGCGCTCGAGCCGGAGGAGTGACGCGACGTTGCTGGGCGGGAGGCGTCGATTTATAATCCCGTAGGATTGTAATGTGGATAGGTAATTCCGACCCCTCGAAAGCGCGCTCAATCGCTCGCTCATCGCACTCCATTTCCCGAGCCGCACCTTGCCGCGCTGCGGGCCTCCCGCCGCCGGCCATCGCGGGACCGCCGCCCGCCGCCACCCCCCTCCCCTAGCCCCTCCCCCACCCCCCACCCCCGCGCCGACGCGCTGCGAAAACGAATTTTCTTGCAGAATTTTGCGCCAACTGCCCACAAAGAATTTTACGACGCAGCTCACGACACTGGCGGGGCATGGGACTGGCGCGTAGCGTGCTAGCGTCAAGCGTGTAGCCTGTAGCTGAAGCTCTCTCAGAAAGTTAGAACATTCGTTGGATCCAACGTGTTCAAGCTGTTACGCGATCCTCTTACGTTACCGCCTACTCCGCGCGTTTTTTAGTAACTATACCCGCGGTGAACACGCGGTAAACGCAACCTGCACAGCCACACGCATCGACGTACCCACCTACAGCCGTAACCCGTAGGCAGACAGACACCACTTCGACTAGAAAGGAGCGCTCCTCCATGCATACAGCATAGACCGCATATAGACTGCCAAACCACAGCCGAGCCGAGCCTCGGTCTACGCCCATTTGCTCACGCGCGGACCACCTTCTTGACGTCATATGCGTCAGCGAAGAAGTCGCGATCGGTCGGGTGGAACGAGCCCACCAGCTGGCGCCCCGCGTCATGCGTCACATATTCGATGAAGCGCGGGACGCTCGGGGTGAAAGTCTTCGTCGCCCGCATATGAGCAAGCTCATACGTTCGATCTGCATCGCCGGCAGAAGCATGCCAGTTCAACCCGAAAATATCACGCTGCAGCGCCTCGAGCCACAGATCCATCGAAACCGAGCGGGCCTCGCCGCCAGCGTCGAGGATAACACTAAGATCATTGCGCGACGCGACGCACGGGACCGGCTCGTTACGCTCGATCGCGCCGTCGATGAAGATGCACACCGTGCCGTAAGGGTGATATCCGTACTTGACCTTGGCCGTGTAGCCGGAGTAATCCGAGACATGCGGGTCGGAGATGGCCGAGAGGGCAATGCTCGCTCGCATGCTGCGGTGGTCGTTCCAATTGTAACGGCACTTGTCCATCGGATGCACCCTCACCACCTCGGGCTGGTCATGCTCACCATCTCTCCTGTTCATATTGAAGGCAGAGCGGCTATCAGTCAGGCGCTCAAGCAGCAGCAGCTTTGCGACGCCATGCACGTCGCCAATGTTGCGGTCGAAGAGGTCGAGAGGCACACGCGAAGAGTCGAAGCCGGGTACGCACACGGCGAAGCCCCGCGCGCTGTACTTGAATAGGCGCGACTCGTAAGTAAGCGACTGGCGCGATTCGTCAGCGACGTTCACCATGCCGTTGATGGCACGGCGAGCGCGCGAAGAGGCCCAGACTCGCTCGCCGTCATAAGCGACACAGCAAGCGTCGACATCGAAGCCAGCGAGCACCTCGGCTGGGGACTGGTAAATGCGTAGCACAACCTGTATGACCCGCGGCATCCTGTGATTGGTAAGGCGATCCTGGATGAACGTCACAGCAAGCTTTGTGCGCACGACAGTGGTGTCTCCGCCCACGGCTCGGAGGTGATCGTAGAGATCCTGAATCCGCTGCGTCGCAGCCGCCTCGCTCAGGCCAATCAAGAAGATGTCGATGTCGCTGTCATTGAAATTCATACCCTGCAGGTATTTAGAGCGTTGTCTGCGCAGCACATCTGCAGCAGGTGTGTCGCCTGCGTGCGAGAACAATAGCGAGGCGAGCACGGAGCCGCCGGCAACGACCATGTTGGACATGTCGAAGCCATCCAGCCGCTGCGACGTCATATGCGAGAACGTCTCACGAAACGTGGCAAGGTCGCTACAAACGGAGCGGGCGACAGCGCGTCGCTCGTCGAGCTTCGCCCACTGCCGCATAGACAGCAGCGCAACGGTGCCTTCATCTGGCCGATAACCAGGTTGAGGGTAGAGGAGGGTGCCATGCTTGAGGCGGTGCTCGCCGTGCAGCATCATGTGGCCTGAGAGCTGCTGCCAAGACTCGTCGTGGGCTGGGCGAAAGCTGTCGAGGTTTGCAAAGACGTCGACGAGGTCCAGGTGCGGTGCGAGGAGCCTCGGGTGCTTGGGTTCCTGGGCGAAGAGGCGGCGCAGCTCCGTCTCGCGCTCCCGCATGGCCACGTTGAGGGCGCCGAGCTCGCGCTCGAAGCGGCCGCGGCCAAAGATCTCGAGCAAGGCCGTGAACTGGTAGAAGTCTGCCTCGGCGAGCAGCTCGCGCCGGGCGGCCTCCGTCTCAGGCAGCATAATCTCGCCCGTGCGAAGGAAGTTGAGAATGTGGTGGAAATTGCGGCCGTCGCGGTCGATGAACGTATAGCCATCCTCGTCGGTCGCGATCTGGTGCCTTCCAGAGAACATCGTGGCTAGCATGGACTCGCGTGCGCACAGCGTGGTGCGAGAGGTCGTGAAGCGGTGGCCGCCGATGTCTAGCTTTACGCGCTCGCCGAGTGAACCTGCTTGCTGCTCCATCATCGCAATCTCGTCTTGAAGCGCTTGCGCCTGCTCCTCGAGCGACTCCCGTTCGCTGGAAACCTCGCTCTTCGCCTCCGCATTTGCGACTTGCAGCCCCGAAAGGAGCGTCTCGATCTGCTGCCGTGCGTGATCAATGCTTTCGAGCAGCGAGGCGACTTTCTCCGTCGCGACCACCCGCCGCGCTCGCTTCATCGCGATGGCGCCACCACTCTCGCCCGCGCGCTCGCTCATCACGGCGAGCCTTTCGCGGGCAAAAGGGGGATAAACTGGCGCGCACGGCAACCGGGACTTACAGGGGGCCCGGGCTGGGGGCGCGACACGAGGGAGAATTTTACAAGAATTCTTAACCCTGAGTAGTTTCACGTGTCATACTGTGCCGGCTACCCAATCCAGCGTTAGATAGCCGCTCCGCGGCACATCGTTGGGCCGGTTCGATGTTCTGAGCATGCCGTGTGATTTTGGTACGATGTTTCTGGACTAAATCGTTCATAATTATCGAAATACGTACGTCCCGGAGCTAGCTTCAGCGCCACACCACTACGTTGCGGCCACGGGTCGCTACCACCGCCGAGCTGGCGCCTCCCGATGGCCGCCGAGTGTCGTGCGCCATCCGCATGTGTCCTCGTCACGCCTCAGCGCCGCGTGCAAAGGGCGGCGGCCTCGAGCGAGCAGCACTCGGTCGTCGCACCACAACACACCAGAAGAGCCGGCGGACCGCAACACACCAGAAGAGTGGGGAGGCTCGTCCGCCATGCCGACTGTCCATCAACCATCTATGAGAGCAGAGCAGAGCTTGCGACTCACGGTCTACAGCCTGACATGTTAGTTCCGCCCATGGCGTGTCTGACTCCGAGGCGGTGCGGTGTGCCATCCATTGCCTCGCCCTCTGATGCCGCCGATGGCTTGCCTCGCCATCTCGTAGCGGACAGGGCGTGCACTGCCTCCGTAGGCGATAGCCGGCAGCGATTGCGTACGCAGAGTGTACATCAACCGGCGCTGTGTGGCAGATCGGCCACAAGTTCGGCCACCGTGGCGTGCACTGCTGTGCGGTGGCTCTCGGGGCTGCGGGGCGAGACACACGCAAGACCCGCTATCAGCCACTCCCTCTGGTCCTTCATTCACAGCAGCTGCAAAATGTGCATGGCAACACGTACTTACAACTGCAGGTGCCAATTACTCTTCTACGGCACCCCTCCCCCGTAGATAGGCGCCCACACGTGTAGCCGCGTATGTGAACATCCCTCTGTGCACGTGCCAGCGCGAGTCGCCTTCGCCGACGGGCCGTTTCACGCGCTCACACGCCCGCCTATGTTGGCCAAGATAGGCGGCTGCACGTGTGGCGCGAGTACCGCTATACGCGTCTGCACGTGTGGCCGCGTATCTTGGCTAAGATACGCGCCGGCACAGAATGACACGTATCAGCCCCGCCGCGAGCTCGATGCGCGGCAGCGGGTGAGGGCGGCTATTCTCCCCCGAGGCAGGCAAGGATACACAGTCCCTCGTGTCGCGCGCGTATTGTGGTGTTTGTTTGATTCTCCTGGGGAGTGGTATGGTATGAGCAGAGCGTGGTATGGTACAATACGAAACTCCGTGGAATCATCAATTTTTCGAGCTCTGAGCCGAGTCTGAGGCTGGTTTGCCGCCAAATTCAGCAGAAACCAGAATCGGCACAAAATACCGGGTATTTTGCGGGTATATACCGCTGGAAAACCCCGGGTATACCTGGGAAATACCCGGTATTTTGCCGATTTCTCCGATGTCTGTGTGTCAGATTTTGCCTCAGAAGTCGTGGTAAATCTTACCACCGTTTGATTGTTTGGCCGTAGAGTGTTTGATTGTTCTGGTGGGCTATACCTCAGCAAATGGCAAGCACTGCTCCACAGACTACACCCCAGTTCACTGTTCATCTGCGCTCAGCTCACGGTATCAGCACTACCAGCGTCTTCTCCTCGTCCCGCCTGTGCTCCACACGGCTGCGCCGGTCGTTGACGCTCCTCATCACCGGCTCCGAGACGCTGCGCACGACGCGCAGCCGGAGCCAGCCCTCCCACCCTTCGCTCAGCCCCTCGCTCAGCCGCTCGCAGCTCAGCTTCCTGCCCCAGCCGTTGTCGTGCCCGCCTACTCGCAGCTGCAGTGGTGGGGAGGCGCCGCTCACACCGCCGGCAAGGAGACGGCAGACCCCAACGCCCGCCTCCACCCCCCTCGATGGGCACCGCGACCTGCGTGCCGGCGCTGAGCTTCGCCGCCGCTGGCTGCGCCGCCGCCGCCGCCTCCTCGGGCCTACTCAGCCATGTCTCGCCGAGGCTCGCGCCGAGAGGAGCAGAGGCGGAGGTCGGCGCCGGACCACGCTCTCTCGCGCCTGTCGCGCGGCGAGTTGTTGTTTGGCGGCGAGACGGAGGACCAGGAGCCTACACGCAGGAGGGCTCCGCCGAGAGTCGCCGAGAGTCGCCGCAGCTGGGCGGCGAGGCGGGGCGGAGCGGGAGCGGGAGCCTCCGACGCTCGTGCTCAATGTGCCGCAGGAGAGGGTCGAGTGGTTGAGGGCAGAGTGGCTCGACGAGTCGACCCGCACCCGGGGAGGGGGGGGCGCGGGCGGCGGCGTCGGCCCCGGAGGCGGTGGCAGCTCCGGCGGCGTGTCGCTCGAACCCTTCGGGCGCGGGGACCGGGAACCGGGGGGCCCCCCGCCCCTAGATTTTGCCACCTTCCCCCTTTTGGTAAATCCGACCGGTCCACCTGTTTCCCAGATGAAAAAAAGCCCCCCCGAAGGGGGGCC